AATCCATACTCAGAAATGTTGCAAAATCTGAAAACCGTCATGCCTGACCTCTCATGACATAGTCACAGTGAGATAGATAGATAGATAGATAGATAGATAGATAGATAGATAGATAGATAGATAGGGTTACCGTTAAGCAGTATGAATAAGTTACATAAATATAAATGCGTCATGCTTAAACTCAGATCTCATTAGGTAGACAAATAGTCTCAAGCCCCTAAAGCATTTTAGATACAGGTCTAAACAATTTTGTAGCTAGCTTAAGATGGCAGCTACCAAATTTATTATCTTCATGTGCTCTCGGCAATTAAAAAAAAGAGCCTTTCCAAAAGCAGATCCCGGTTATACCAGTAAAAAACACAGGCGTAGGGGGTGCAGCCTGTGTGGCAGGGGCTGATAATGGGAACACGCTATGCTGGGACAAGCTTGTCTCTTTACAAGGTTGTCAACTGTTCATCAAAGAACGCTCTCTCCTCATTGCCATCTATGTAGAGCGACCTCAACATTAAACAGAGATTTCTTCCTGATGGTCTGCCAGCTGACCCAGGCAGCTGGCAACCAGCTCCTCCTACCACAGGTGGCTGGAGCTAATGAGCTCCCTTAAAAGCAATAGAAGGCCATCAGGGTAGTGAGTGGCTGTAAAGCTAGCATTCAGGAAGCTAGGGCAGAAGGATCTGCTCAAGCAGGACTGTTAGTCCCTGTTTCAAAAATAAAATTTAAAAATAAAAAAAAATCTGAAGCAGGGAAAGATTTCCTAGCTTGAACAAAAGGCAGCAGTCACAAATGGAAAAAGTGAGGACACTTTCTTAAAAATACCAAAAGACGTGTTAAGAATAAAAAGGCATCTCAAAAAAACAAAAACAAAAAAGCAAAAAGACAAGCCAGGTTTAGAGAAAGAGGGGTTTTTGTTTGTTGTTTTTTTTCTGAAGCAGGGTCTCACTAGTGGCCCAGGCTGTCCTCGAACAATCTTCTTACCCCCAGCTCCCAAGTGATAGGATTGTGGGTGTGTATCACCAAATCCATAAATACACACACACACACACACACACACACACACACACACACACACATATATATATATATATATATATATATATATATATATATATATACACATCTGACAAGGGAGTCAAAAGCAGATTATTTCTTACAATAAAATAAGAGGGATTCAAAGTGAGTAAAAAGTTGGGCATGGTACTTCATGCCTTAAATCCCAGCACTTGGGAGCCTGTGGTAAGAGAATGACCAGTCAGAGGCCAGCCTGAGCTACATACCAACTACAAAGCAAGCCTGACCCACCGCCTTAAAAAAAGAAAAGGTAAGATTTTAACAGGCACTCACAAAGGATATACAAGTATCAATGGCATCTACAGCATTCAGCATCACTACTCAATAAAAAAAAATGGTTTTTAAACCCACAAGGATCACCTCATACTAATTAGAATCAGTACTACTGGGAAAAAAAACAGAAAATAACAAGCTTTGGTAAAGCTGTGGAGAAATCAGAACCTTCACATTATTGTTAGGAATGTAAAATGGTCTAAACACTATGAACAGTAAAGCAGTTCCTTAAAAAATGAAAAATACAATTCTTCCAGTCACTCTACTTTGTGCAGAGTGCAGAGCCTTCAGGAAGCATCTGTATCCTCATGTGTACAGCCGCGTTACTCTCAGTAGCCAGGTGGCACCACTCAAGAATCTCTGGACAAGCGAATATTCTACTCATAAAGCACCTACAGTGTCAAATTCTTAGCAGAAACTAGAATGTTGGTTGCCATGACAGCATGAGGGAATAAGTCATTACAGTTTATCAGAGTTTTGCTTTTACAATAATTCTTGTAATGCATAGTATGGATAGTTATTTAATAATGTGTTGTACCTAATGTCATTACCTATATACTAGAAAAAACAGCTTAATTGCATGTATATATTTTATCACAGTTTTAAAGTATGTATTTTTAAGCCTACAAAAATACCTCAATTCCCTCCTCAAAAATAGGCAAAATTCACTATAAAAGATGATGTGTGACTATAGTCTCCTGCTCCGGAAGCTGAGGATCACTTCAGCTCAGGCATTATACCCCAGGCTCCTCAGCAAGAACAAATACAATGAGAGCATGCCTGGGGGAGAGGGAGAGGGAGAGAGAGGGGGAGAGAGAGAGAGAGAGAGAGAGAGAGAGAGAGAGAGAGGTGGGGGGGCATTGCTCAAAATGTACAAAGGAATCAGAACTCTTATGCCCCACTGGTAGAATTTATATTGGTACAACCATTTTGGAAAACTGTCAACATCTTCTATCTACTGAATCTCAACACTCCAATCTAAGCATAAGTACCATACTCTCTTTACTTTGTGTTTGCAGAACTGGGGAATGAAAATGTGAACCAAAGAACACAAGCAATAATGTTCAAATATGCTTTATTCATTTTAGCCAAATCCTGGACACTATGCAAAGATATAACAGAAAACAAGTAAATTATCATTCAATCTATTCAAAGAAACTACTTATTACACAACCTGTGAAAGAACATATACACTAGAGTTCCTATTGTATGATATTATTTATATGGATTGTAAAACCAGATTAAAGCAGTTGATTAGATTTTGTTGTTGTTTTAATGGCAATTTAGTTACCTTCATGATGTAGTTGAGATGACTACTGAATAGATTGGGCAAGAACTCTAGTGCTGGAAATATATTAGGCTTGATCTGTCAGGGGCTGCATAGTCACAGAAAATGTTAAGTGAGCATCAATCATACCTTCTATTAATACACTTTATACTTTTTGATGTATGTTTGTTATATCTCAAAGGTAAATTATTCGTAAAGCATGTCAGGTCTTTCAGTTGGGAATCTGATGCAAAAGTTAACAAATTGCAACCTTGCTTTTTCTTTTTCTGATTTAGACGTTTAGATCCTATTGTACCCAAACTTACCAGTCTCCCAAGTTACCTGACGAATCTGAAGCCTCCCTCAGAGCAAATTTACGGCTCTTCTGTTATAATAACCTGTTTTTATTTAGTCTGTACTTGGAATCTACACCTCCTGTTTGCTTTCTATCGGTCAAATGACCAACTTGACATTATTCATCTTTTGGGTTTTAGTTTTTCGAGACAGGGTTACTCTGTGTAGACCTGGCTGTTCTGGAACTCACTCTGTAGACCAGGCTGGCCTTGAACTCAAAAGATCTACCTGGCCCTGCCTCCCAGGTGCTGGAACTAAAGGTGTGAGTAACTACAACCTGCCCTGCAGGGTGTTTTTCTTCTGTTTTGTTTGAGACAGAGTTCACTACGTAGCAGATTCCACCTGCTACTCCTTCCCAAGGGCAAGGCTTAAAATCATGGCTCACCATGATAGCTATGTCTATTCAAATTTTCAAAATATCATTTTATTTTAATATATATTTGAAATATATATTTATATATATAACTATAATATATTTAAAATATAGCTCATGCCCCGCCAAGGCCCTGACTTGCATTTCCAGCAGCATCTCCCGCCTCCCACCCAAAACTGTGTGCATATATTTATATGATATATATATATATGTATATACATACATATATATATAGACATATATATATCATAAGGTGTTATCAAACATGGGGGAGGTCACACCTATGCTAAGTCAGTCCTGCTTATTCATCCTCAAGAAGTCAATTAAAGGAGCCAAGATAAACATGGAAAGCAGAAAAGGGGAATTTATTCAAACTGGACACATTAGGAAAAGAGACAAAGAGATCCAGTATCCTTGAAGTCAGTCAGAGTCCTGAAGTGAGATCAAAGTTTAAATCCACATCAAAGGATATGCATATTTAAGCATCATTAGATGGCTGTAAGGTGCTCTGACAAGTTGCTATAACCATGAAATCTCTTTCCCAGGGATAAGTCATTGTGCGTCCCGCTGCCTCACCCTCACCCACACTGACTGATGGCTTTTCCTTCTCTAAGCGTGAGATTCCCTGGGAAATTCCCATTTCTTCGGTGTCTACTGTTTCAAAAGTCTGATAATCTGATAGACATATGTCTTTTTAGAACATTTTCATTGCTGCCAGGCAGGTTACAATATTATCATACTTCAGTATTTGATAAACGTGTGGCATCCCTCCAATACCTATCCTTTCCACACACCATCTACCCACTCTAAGAAGAGAAACCTTCATTCTTTTTATAAAGGGACATTTTATTGACTGGTCCCTAAACAGTCAATTAGCACAGATAACATGAGCTGTTCAAAAAAGAAAAATAAAGGGTATTGGCTTTCCCCACCTCCCCTGGCTCCCGCCATTAGTAATAATGTGAATATTAAAGACCTTAATATGCAAAATCTTACAATGTAGTAAGAAGAATCAAATCTTTTCACTGTCACAATTTTACAAACTTGATTGCCTCTAACATGCCCTTAGCTTAGTCAAATAAACAAATTAGTGGGAAGGTAATAACTGTGAAGTGATGAGAAGGTATTAAATACAGAAAGGCCAATGTAAAAGAAACTTACCAGGCTGTCTTAACTGGTAGAATGCTTGCCTTTCATACATACACAAAAGCCCCAGGATAAACTAGTAGTGGCTGCACACATCCATGGGAGGCAGAGAAGCAGGTAGATCAGAAGCACAAAGAAGCCCGATCAATGTGATATGGAATTAACAGCAACAGTTTTTACATTGGCTCAACAAGACAAGTCAGAAATGCGCTTACAAAACATCGTTTGAGCAGCCGGCAGATTCAGTTTCAGGAAAAAGGTTAACAAGGATCAGGCCACTCCTTAAAATGCACCGTGTGGATACAGTGAAAAAGACTGGGGTAATCTGGTATACTGCATTTTTTTTATTTAAATGTACTAACTGAAATAGATTTTTCTGAGAGAACATCAAAATGTGTTTCACTTCATAAAAGTCAATAGAAAGAAATGTAAAAATATTTAACATAAGAATAAATGGGATTGTACTACTGGAATGCAATAATCATAAAGCTGGATAGGTGGATTAATTGTCGTACATACCTGTGGATTTTCTGGATTCCTGTGTTTGCTTACTCATGTACATTCAAGTCTTCTTTTTTAGAAACCACTTCTGGAAGCTTTTGGCTTCGATACTGCCACCTGTAGACATAAAAGAGAAATAAAGCATGTTTTATTCATCAGCATTACATCTTTCCTAGGCATCTAACAGAGAAAAACGGGAGGAAAAGTGGCAAAATATTTGCTCCGAAAGACCAACAAAGTGTTTTCTCTCCCAATGCAACTTACCTAAGGAATCTCCTTCCACAATGGTTCAATAAAGTAGTTGATAAGAAACTGAAACATACTAAGTCCCAGGTCATCAACCAAATCACCTTCTGAATAGTTCATTAAAAGATATGGGAGTTCTGCTCATCAACGCTTGGGTATATAGAGAAGGAAAATGAATTCGCATTTGAGACCATCCGGGATACCTACAGGGTTCCAGGCTAGGCTAGGGAAGAAAGGTGGGGTGGGGGGAGGTGTGTGTGTGTGTGTGTGTGTGTGTGTGTGTGTGTGTGAGAGAGAGAGAGAGAGGGGGGGGGGAGAAAAGGAGGGAGGGAGGGACAGAGGGAGGGAAGGAGGGAGCAAGGAAGAAGGGGAGAGGTGGGGGGAGGGGGAAGAGAAAGCACGTGCCAGCATAATTTACAGCCATTTCGAGACCTACCATTTAAAATTAGGAGTCAATTTGCCCTGTATAATCTGAGAATAAAGAATTTCATAACGTAACCTGATAAAAAGATAAGGGACGCACGCTAACGTTACTTTATTCCAAGGTCATAAGGTATCTATTTAAAAATAAAAATTCCAGTCTGAATCTGAACAGAGCTTAATTCAATCTAAACAGATTTTCGGTGGGGTGTTTTCGTCATAGTACCCTGGGCCTGATTTGAACATAAACAAATCCGAAAAGATCTTTCCCTACCTTTTATTGATTAAAATACAGATGGATCCTTTTTTCCTTAAAAAAAAAAGTCACGGAAAGAACAGAGGAATAAAATATCCATAAGCAATTACCAGAGAATCCAAGCAGCCATAAGATAAAAAGAAGGGTTTGCATCGCAGGGAAAGATAAAGACAAACCTTTAAATTCTGTAGTTAATTGAAAATGAGGAAGCGCCTTGCCCGGGCAGTTGCACCGCAGAGGGCCAGCCCTTCGGAGTGCCAGTCTTCCCAGGACAAGTGGCCGCCTCCTCCCAGGCTCCAATATGTTAAACCAAAGACACAAGAAGCACTTCCCGCGCCCACCCCCTGCTGAGACAGCATTAGACCCCCACCAAACCTGCCAAGGGCTTCTTTGCCCACACCACAGACGCATCCCACTTACCCATCGTTTACTTTAAAGCTCGAAAGCTTGTTTTGTTTTACGGAACTGCGCAAATCCTGGAAAACCAAGTCTCCCTGAGACCCTCGCCTCCTCCTTCCTATGATGTTCATTAAAAAGAAAATGAAAAAAGAAAAAAAAAAAGATACCAAAAATCTTCTCCCTTTCCAAGCCCGATCGTATGCTGGGCCATCCCAAAGAAGGTCTTTGAGTACCCTCTAAAGACCAATACCGCTCCCACGTGCCTTCTCGTGCAATGCAAAGGAGCACGAGCTCCTGAGGATTGTGTGCGCGGCCAACTCTCGGGGAGGGAAGTTCCGCACACTTATCACCCCAGCCCCCACCCCAGCTCGGACAGCAGGAGGAAGACCCTGGGTGTGGCGATGCGCTGGTACACAATACTCTAGTAACTCCAGCCTTCCCCCCTCCAATCCCCCGCAGTCCTGCCACCAGTCTCCCTTCACCCAGTCCCTTCAGTCCCCGCGGGCTGGGAACAGGGGGCGTCCTGATGGCTGTTAGGTGGGGATCAGGAAGGTTGGAGCGACAGGCTACTACCACCCAGATCGCGAGTGGGTAAAGGGCGTCGTGGTCGCCAGATGCAACATGGAAGCTCAGCTCCTCCAAGGAGTCGAGGTGAGGACCGCTCCCAGAAGACCTGAAGGAGCGAAATCCCACAGGCAATAATTCTCCCGTACCTCTCCCCACCTAGCTCAAGCGCGCGTTCAAGCGCGCACCCTACGGGGTCGAGCACCCTCCTCTAGCAATTGGGACCTGGCCGGCCCTTGCCCACAATGGCCACAGAAACTCTGCTTCCCAGGCCACAGCGACCCCAGAAACGGGCAAGGCGCCACTGCTGTTCGGGGAACCCACCTGAATGCAGGGTGCGCCCGCCGTTGCGCTGTCTCCAGCAGTGGGAAGGCGACGGCCGGGAGACCGCGGGACCCCCCAGGCAGCCTCGCTCACTCGGAGAAGCGGAGAAGCAGACGGAGCTACCTTAGAGCCAAGAGCTCTGTTCGTCCACCTGGCCTGCAGGTTCTGCAACTGGGTCCAGCGACCAGCCCGAGCCGAGCATTCATCTCCGCCCCTTTCCCGCCACCCGCGCAGTGCTGCGCTCCGCCCCCTGACCGCCCTCCCCTAGCTGCGGGGGGGGGGGGGGGGGGGGGGAGGACACAGCCCTGGGCTGCCACGCTAAGCCTCGTGTAGCAGCTCCCGGGTCCCAGGCACCCTGGAGGACTGGGGGCGGCCCTGGGATCCGCCCCGACCCCAATCCTCCTAACCTTCCCGCGCTCAACGAGCCGCCAAGGCTATGGGCACTGCAGGCTCTGCCCTGTTCTTCCGCTGTCTCTTCACTCCCTGCCTGGCAACTTCCACCGCCCGGCGGTGACTGCCTCAAGCTTTGTGGGAAGCGGGGTAGAAGTGCTGAGGTGGAGAATCAAGTAAAGAGGAGTAGAATGAACCAGTGAGAGGAGGCAAAGAAATAACCATGTCAACTGGCAGGGGATGGATGCAAGTTGCTGCCTGTGGTTTCTGTTACATTAACTACCTGGATATGCCGCTGTCCTTGTTAAAACCGCAGTAATGTTCAGAGGCATCAGTCTAAAGATTTTCATGCTAATTGGTATTGGGCTGTTGGCATTTGGAGGGGGGGGGGCGGGTGGAAGATGATGGCAGACCATAGGCTCCCTCGTTTTTAAAAAAGTTGCATTTCTTATATACGTTGTATAAGCCACCTTTCTCATTTAAAAACAAAAAAAAATAGATAGCAATAGTTACGGTCTACAGAAACAGATTCAGTGCATATGTATTATTTCAATCTACTGTAATTATATTAATTGGCTCTTTATAAGGTAGATTTTAAGTATTTCATTAAAACAGGCTCATAATTTTGGGATCAGGAATCCCAGTGATTTCATTTGATTTTTGTCTTTATTTCTATCTAAGACATCATTTCATGAAGATTACTAAATGTAGTTATACAGAAAAATAAATCCTTTTTCTTCTAGGTTAACGGTATGTTTAGATCTGGCAAAGAACAAATTGTTTTTAAATCCAAGAAAAACTAAGATTCCCACTCATTAGGGATGATCTGATGATAGCTTTTTCTTTCTTTCTCCTTCAGGCAAACTCCCTTTCTTTTTTGCATTGTCCTTCCAAAATTGCCCCTCAAACATAACTGAGCCTTTTTGAGATTTTATCTTCTTAAAAGGAATAGGAAAATTCCTGATCATTTATTATCAAAAACCATGTGAAGCTCATAATACTAAACTTTCAACCCTGCTTTTAATCATTCATTTAACCTGATACTTGGGAATGAAGGTTTTTCTGTCATAATTGTTTTGAGACAGAATTTCGCTATGAAGCTCAGTCTGGCTTTGAACTCTGGGTTCCCCTACTCCTGAGAGAACCAAGAAATGGTTTGTTTCTATAAGTGCACACTTTTTAATTAACACTGTGAACCAAAATTAAATTTATTAAATTGATTAATAAAAGTACTATATATGTTTCTGTATAAAGTAAGACAACAAGGATGATAAACAGTCCTAAAGCAGACACTCTGAAGTAAAGAAAACAGTCTTTAGCAAAACTGAAGATACCCATTCTGTAGAAAGCATGACAAACATCAGTAATTATGCAAAGAGTGACTGCTGCCTCTTCTCTCTTCGGGTTGTGGTTAGGCCTGCATTCATCTCTTTTGATCATAATAATAAAAATAAAGAAATTCAGCATTCTGGTGACATTGCCTAGTAAATTAGCAATTTTTTTAAGATTTATTTATTATGTATATAACTTTCTGCCTCCATTTATACCCACATGCCAGAGGAGGGCGCCAGATCTCTTTACAGATGGTTTGGAGCCACCATGTGGTTGCTGGGAATTGAACTCAGGACCTCTGGAAGAGCAGACAGTGCTCTTAACCACTGAGCTACCTCTCCAGCCCGTAAATTAGCAATTTTAAAATGATTTTATTACCTAATTAATCCAAGTAAATGCCTCCAATAAATTCAATTTTATTCTAACATTTATTTCTGCTTCCAAAGAAACACTTGGAAGAATTTAAAACAGTTAAGGTAAAAACTAGTAGCAATTGCAAGCCAGATTCTTTGGTTGGATGTGTGATGCTGAAGTTATTATTAAGTGACTTCTGCATATTAAGTTATACGTCAGATATTGGTTCTCAGCTGTTCATTGGCTACATCTATAATGAGTTCTGGTGTGGCCTTGTCTATCCTCTGGAAATGCATTTCATTTCTTTCTATCTACCTTATTGATTCTATCTTTCTCTAAACTATGTCCATTGAGTTTTCAAGACTCAACCCCCGATCTATATATCTCACTTAGCAGATGTCCTTTAGGTTGAATCTCCCTTGAGTTCTTGGTTTAAAAAAAAATTGGTGAGATTAAACATCTAAATTTGGAAAGAGTACTTCAGGCAAAGTTCTCTTTTTAAAACAAAATAATTCGTTATTGATGCTTTGGAAATTTCATACCATGCAACCCAATCCTACTGACCTCCTAGTCCCTCCATATCTGCCCCTTGCCCCTGCAGTATGCCCCCAAAATTAATTTAAAAAATAACAAAAAGAACAAACAATCAAAAAAACCCACCTTCATCCCTCCATCCTTCCAACACCTCTTTATCCATCCTAGTGGCATGAGGAGCTGTGGTGTGTCACGCAGTATATATCCCTTTTGTCCAATCAGCTCCACCTGCAAAATGTTCAAGGTCTGGTTCGAAGACTTCAGTTTCTTATGCATCATTGACACTGGACCCTCACCAAAAACTCTTCTCAGATATCCTGCTCTTGCTAAGTCACGAAGATCTCACGGTTATCATTATGCAGGATCAGTCCCTTCACGCACTATGTCAGGTCATAGATGAAGCCACTGTTAGGGAGGGCCACACCCAAGGCCCAAGATGTAGGTCTGAGTGATAGCTGAGCTGGTTGGCCCTGGACATTGGGACCACCCGCTCAAGCAAGGGGCAGAGCCAGCGGTCCAAGGCCCATACCATTGCGGCCATCTTTCCTGAGTGAGTGCTGGGGTCAACTCTCCCATACTGCAGTGTCCAGCGAGGGACAGAGCCAGCTACGGCCCTCAGAGTTCAACACACATGGTTCTTATGATGCCCTGTGGTAACAGGAGTCGTGGACATAAGCCCAGACTCTGACTGCTGTTGGGGCACTGACCCAGAAATGGCCTTGTTGCCAGGGGACAGAATGTCATCATGTCCCCTGGTGGCAGCACAGGCCACTCAGATCAACATGGTTCCAGTGGGGGCACAGCCCTTGGACACCAAAATGGCCACACGTGGCAGTCCACATCCCTGACCCTCCCTGTGGCCTTGTTGCAGCGTGAGTCATGGATGTCAACATTGACCCTGGCTGTCGAAGACACATATATGGCTGTCGAAGACACATATTTGGCTGTAGGCAGCAGCCCAAACCTGGATGCCACCCCCATTCCTCACAGCTCCTGCTTCTTCAGAACTGCCTCTTACCACAGTACACAAACCATTCTGCCTCTCTTTTCACCACCATCTATAAAACACTTGCTCATTATATTGGCACCTGACCCCAGGCATGTAAATGCTTCAGGCAAGCTGAATTGTGAGGACCTAGGCTGCCCCATGGGTGTCTTTAGCTCACCTGAGCCACATAGCATCAGGGGTTCAGGCTTCGTTCTAAGAGATAATAGTTGACTTTCTCAAAATCAGGAAGGTGTGACACATCTGAATAAAAATGATAATAAACCAACAGATCAATTTTGTTCTGGCCAAAATTAAAGCACGATCTCATGATACGTAAAGGGTACAATTCAAATAATTTTCCCTGTGTTTTCTTTCACTGGGACAAACCCTTTGTCCCACCAACCAAGGACCATTAAATTTCTTATTTAGTTCCTGTGCAGTTGAAAAATTTTCATTGACTTTTAAATAAGAATGTGTACTAGATGCTTTCACTGTCCTCAAAAAAATCCAATGGACTCTCTATTTGGTTTTAGAAGTTTTCTTGACATGCCTGCAACATAGGTGAGAACAGACGTGAGCATCCTCAGAGCCCTGGAAAGAGAGTTCTAACTTGCAGTTCATGTTCAAAACAATGGATTAAAACGGGGCATAAACTGTTGTTCTGACAGTTTAATCCCATTGATGTCTTCTCGTCCCAGTTCTCACACCAGCAGAAAGCTACTAAGTGTGTTAGCATTCCCACTTGAGAAGATGTCACCTGATAATTGTTTTGTAAATTTTGTCCATTTACCACTTAAGCCATAAACCTGAACATAATAAAGTATTCTCTCCTTTTTCCTTGTCATTGAGAATTGATTTACAAGACCGTGATGGGAAAGCTTTTTTGACATTTGCCACTCTGGCTCTGAGAAAAGCACTAAATTTCTTTACTTTGGATGATTAGGATAAGTGGGCAACATCATTGATTTAAATTTGCACAATGTGAATTACTTTAATTGGTCTCCTCGTGTTAGGGAAATAAGTCAGCAGTTACCACACAAGACAATGAGGATAGAGACAGTATCACCCATCTATTTCTCAAATTGAAATGTTACTGCTTTCAAGGAACTTCAAAATAGCCAAAAGCCAACAGTTGGATTTAAAGCTTATTTTTTTATTATTTATTTATTTATTAAAGATTTCTGTCTCCTCCCCGCCACCGCCTCCCATTTCTCTCCCCCTCCCCCAATCAACTCCCCCTCTCTCATCAGCCCAAAGAGCAGTCAGGGTTTCCTGCCCTGTGGGGAGTCCAAGGACCTCACACTTCCTTCCAGGTCTAGTAAGGTGAGCATCCAAACAGCCTAGGCTCCCACAAAGCCAGTACGTGCAGTAGGATCAAAAACCCATTGCCATTGTTCTTGAGTTCTCAGTAGTCTTCATTGTCCGCTATGTTCAGCAAGTCCGGTTTTATTCCATGCTTTTTCAGACCCAGCCCAGCTGGCCTTGGTGAGTTCCCAATAGAACAT